ATGATTTTATCAACAATCTGCATCCTCTTTCACTGAGGCTCACTCTCCTATATATGTATAGCAAAGCATAAGCAAAGACTCTTCACCCCTCTCGCCCATTCTCACCTTCTACTTCCTAGTCTCTCCATCTCTCAAATATACCGACATCACTTCTTCTCTTCTATATCTTCGAAGTGCTACACTCTTCCTCTTGATTTCCTTTCTCCAGTATCCCCAGAGATATATAATTATAGAGATATGGTAGTGGCATCTCCAACTAAAATTCACAGTGAAGAAGTCCTGGCCATTGAGCTTCCAACAGTAGACCTCTCAGGTGATAGATCAATGGTTTCCAATCTCATTGTCAAAGCCTGTGAGGAATATGGTTTCTTCAAGGTGAAAAACCATGGTGTTCCTCATGACATCATTGCCAAAATGGAGAAAGAAAGTTTGAACTTCTTTGCCAAACCATTCGATGAAAAGCAAAAGGTTGAGCTGGCCAAACCCTTTGGTTATGGCTGCAAAAATATTGGCTTCAATGGTGACATAGGAGAGGTGGAATATCTACTTCTTAGTACCAACCCTCTCTCCATAGCTGAAAGATCCAAAACCATATCCAATGACCCTGCAAAATTCAGGCAAGTGCTTACACCCTTTATATTGCTCTGAACTTTTCATTATTGTACATGGGAATTTAACACTACTACATTTAGTTATCCATAATTCATTTTGCAAATGCTTTTTATTATTTTTTAAAAAAGATATCTAGCAATGTTAATTACTCTTATGCATATATTTGTTCGAGAGCCACCGACTTCTTGAAAGTGCAAGAGATGATGTGTTTTTGGTTATGAGTGCTGCCTTGAGAAACTGACATAAAACATGATTAGCACAGCTACTTGCAAGAAATTGGTGAACAAAGTTAACAAACACAAAATGCTGCAAAATCTACAAACCGAGAAGACTAAAACTACTTCTAGTTTTTTAAAATTAAAATTAGGGTGTTTCCGAAATTTGAAAATGATGCCACCATGCAAATTGCTAGTTCAATCTCCCAAATACTTCCACACACACACACACACACACACAGAGTGCTAGATGGGAAATTTCTTGAAATTGAGCAGTGTTTTCTAAACCCGAGTATTCAAATGCCCTGTCCTTTCCTAAAAAAGAAAAACAAATCTAATTTACTGCCGGAATCTTTCTTAATGAATTTCAGGGTGAAACAAGCTTGCCTTCTTTAATATTTAATGGGACCAGAAGACTCGGTGCATGCTATAATAGGAATTTCATTTATTATTGTCGTAATGTTTGGTATGAAAGGAACATGAAAATAAATAACCGGGATTTCCTTATATCGAACACTAGCTATGAAATTATATTATATTATATATACTGAAGGTAAACACACTTTTACGGTAGAACTAGAACAATTAAAATTTTCTTTAATTTTTTCGTTGTAACGGGTAATGAATGGTGAAACAGTGATGATAAATCTATAATTTTTTTTTTTTAGAACAATTAAAATTTTCTTTAATTTTTTCGTTGTAACGGGTAATGAATGGTGAAACAGTGATGATAAATCTATAATTTTTTATTTTTTACTTCTATATTATAAAAAACAAGTTTTTTTATTTTTTTTTATTTTTTATACTTGATATTTATATATCAAGCTTATTCATCACTATTTTTTTCTTATATATATATTTTAGTTTTTTTTTCTATACATTTGGTTTAGAACAAAATTATTTCTACAGTTCTTTTTATTTTTGTCTTTATATTTTATAATTTATTTTTTAGTTTTTTTTCTTCACACCTTTTGTTTTTTTAAAAAAAAAAAACTATACAGACTAAGTAAATAGCTTTCAATGTAGTAATTGCATATTTTTTTTACTACATTAAAAAGTAAAAACACTTGCTAATAATATTTAAATATTAATTTATTTGGATTAGAAAAAACAATTACTCAGCAGTTAGGCGACTTGAATAAACATGGTAGCGTTTGTTATTATTAGATCCATTTTAAAACTCCGAATCACAAGGGAATATGGAATTATATATGTCCTCTTGGAAGGTGAGATAGCATGCCACAACTTGTTTCACTTGAAAGTTGAAAAATAGCCTCCTTTGTCTTTGTCAACATCCCCCATTAATGCTTGAAAAACTATTTTTAAAACCAGAGAAGTTTCATGTATTGTAACATTGTCGTTGATTCACTGTTTATTGTCTTCTTAAAGTTGCATGGTCGGTAATCTCAAAAGAGGAGGAGAGGGAATAGTGCTGGTTGGTTTAACAATCCATGGTTTCTTTTTATAAATAGAAAAAAAGATAAAGAAAACAATTGTCAGCAGTCTCCTAGGGTTTGAATTTGAGTTAGTTAAAAAAAATATATATACCGTGTCAGATTTGTCATTTCTTTATCCCAAACATGGCTTAGGAGGGAGAGGGAGGGGGGGTGGGGGTTATGTACGAATCAATCCAATCACATTACAATCTCATTGACATGATTATCTCTTGTGAAAATTATCTATGATTCTTGATACATGAATGTCGTCCAGTGATTTATGATGGAATAAGTGAAATCCAAACAATGCTTACGCTTTTATTAATCAAATAAAAAAGAAAAGAAAGTTTATGTTGACAAAGCTGTCCAGTCTCAATCCTCTGAATAAAATATTCATCATCCATCTAATCTTAAACGTCTGGGCTTACATGTAAAATTTACTTGGTGGCATCAAACATGATAAAGTTTTTTCTCGACGACAATCACTATTAATCCAGAAAATTCGAAAAGAAAACGAAGATAAGGTACTTTTAGCATGAAAAGATTGGAGAATCAAATGGACAAGTCAGACAGATACATGTAAGATGGTCTTATCAAATCAGAAGAAAGAATAATAAAAATAATAAAGAAAGGAACTCGAATGCCAAAATAATGCCACGAAGGAATTTAATAAAGAGAAACTGGAATAGGCAAAGGAGAAGCAGAGCAGCAGGTTCATCGTCCTTGTCTAATGTGCGACTGTATGGTTTCTTTTCTTTCCAAGCCTTGTTAAACTGTTATATTCACTGACGATAAGGTGTGACTTTTCTCTCTTGGACACAGCTCTGCTGTGGGTGCTTACATGGAAGCAGTTAGGGAGCTGGCATGTGAGTTATTAGATCTGATGGCGGAGGGGCTGCGGGTCCCGGATAGATCAGTGTTTAGTAGGCTAATCAGAGATGTTGACAGCGACTCACTCATCAGGTTAAACCACTACCCCCCTCTACCTCTGCTCAGTAAGGACAAGGACTCGTCACCTTGTAACCAAAACAAGGTAGGGTTCGGAGAGCATTCTGACCCTCAGATCTTGACCATCTTGAGATCCAACGATGTGGGTGGCCTTCAGATTTTCTTAAATGATGGTGGGTGGGTCCCAGTAAAACCTGATCCCGCAACCTTCTGGGTTAATGTGGGTGACTTGTTACAGGTTGGTCCACTATTTTTCTCTTATCTTGTAATCATAATCAAGTGTGAAAAAAGTTGATTGCGATTTGATGGAATCCACTGTTCCAATAGCTGAGCTAGCTAGCTAGCTAGCTGTAGCTATCTAGGCAGGCTTTGGATTGGGTTCTTGATGCTAATGGGACCCAAATCTACAACATTAGTTTCCATCCAGTGAACATTATGTGAATGAGTAATTGAATGACCAACTAGATTCAGAACAATGGGAACTGAAAAGCACCTGACCCGGGGTTGGTTGCCTACGGTGTTCCTAGAAGCTGACTTTAAGTTATCGAGGAAATATCTCGGTGATCTGACTAAATCATTTCCAAGATATTTTTGTGGAATATCGGTTTTCTTGGGTCTCTTTATTGGTGAAAAGATGAAAGAGATATGTCCTAAAGTAAGGTCTCTACAAAACCAGGTTTTTCCCGAAAGTTCTGTTTCTGAAATTTATATTTTCTAGAACTGAATGATTGTTATCGTCAAAATCAAAGCTTTGAAAACAACGTTGTACCTACTGGACCTTGTACTTGTTCGCGTTGATTCAAAGTACGCTTCCTGGTTATCATTTATTTTTTACATGACCCTCTGCTCAGTTCAATGTGCCATTTTGTTCATCCATGGAAGTCTCGTATTATTGCCTTGTTAAATTTTGCAGGCAATGACAAATGGGAGATTTGTAAGTGTGAGGCACAAAGCCCTAACCAACTCTTACAAGTCCAGAATGTCAATGGCCTATTTTGCTGGCCCCCCACCCAATGCGAGGATCCCTGTTCCGCCAGAAATGATTACCCCCACCAAGCCGGCATTATACAAGCCTTTTACCTGGGCTGAATTCAAGAAAGCTGCTTATGCTCTGCGACTTGGAGATAGCCGCCTTGGTCTCTTCAGGATGGAAGGAGATGAGCAAGTTGCTTGATGAATTTTTGTTTTTTGATAGTCGAGTATTATGTAGTAAATATGCAAGTTTAGTCTCTTTCTGTACGCCTGCCCTAGAAAGAATTTTGCTGTTGGATATATCCTTTTCATTGCTACTGCATATAACAGGATATCTAGAGACGGCGTTGTAGTACGGCGGATATGAGTAAATGGTGCGGTAGTATCACCTTAGTCTAGTCATCAGTGTAAAAAACTTTCTTCTGAATCCTGTTTAGTGGCCAGTAGGTGGTGGTTAGCTCTATCATGGATTCTTTCCACATGACGAGCAGAACGATAGTGAAAGCCCTCCCAGGATAAGATGTTATATGAAGGTGAAATAAATTTGAATATGGAAAATCAATCTTTTGTAGGGCACAAGCTAGAATCAAGGAGGAAGTAATGGAATTACCAGCTCACTCTTTTACTCGATTTGGAAATGCGATTGCAATGAAAAACATCAGAATTGGTATCTTGAAGATACTAAAATTATTAGAAAATATCTAAATAGCATAAATTCAATGACTTTTCCATTGGAAAACATTTTTAAGCATAAAGAAAAACATACTTCGTGTATTATATTTGTCCACCACACGAGTCACCGAAAATGCTAGGCTGATTTGTGACACCCAGAAAGGGATTGATCATATCTATGGAAGAGAAGTTTACACGTGTCATGCCAAGGTCGAAAGGAAATTCAAGCACGAAACCATGCATTATTACAAGTAGGTTACAGGCTCTCAAAAACACAGCATCTAATTCAAACGAGTCATGTGCTTCAACAAGAGGTACAACAATCAGCACCTCAGAGTAGTTTGTCTGTCATCACATTCAAGTCGCCCTTTAAAATATTGAGTTAGGGCTACAAATGATCTTTTCTGTTATCGTTTTTACCACGCTATATAGCTATCAGGTCAGGAAATACCTCATCAGACAAGAATTTGAGATCTTGCAGCAATGCGTGAGCACTTCTTCCGGCCAGTTTTGCTTAGTGCACAAACACATATCTCCAGGAGCTCATAATCCTCTTCCAAGAACAACAAGGATGCTTTATCTGGATTCTCTAAAAGCATCTTTGATGTTAGGAAACCAGAGATTGTCCATGTCTGAAAAAGCCTGGACTGTTTGCCTATAAACCTTCCACTGCGAGTGTCATAGTATTCAGGCCATTGATCCATTGATAATCTCGTCTCTGCCAAAGCAACTGCCTTCTGTGCTAATTCTGGTTTCCCCATCTTGATACAAGCTAATGTGAACTGGAATAATAAGCAACGTCGTATTATGGAACACATTTTCACGACTTGATATAAGCAATGTAAGCCAACACCCAAACATAACATTCAAGTATCACAATTTTGAGTCTTTGACAAATATTACCTGCCACAGCAGTGTTGGCCAAGATCCACCATTGTGATATGACCATGGGCTGCAACAAATTGGAGAGATAATTACATTAAACAGAACCGCTATGCAACTAAGCCAATCTACATAAAGCACCCAGGAAATAATAGGAGCCTCACGTGTTCTTTGGATCACTGCCAGTAATTATACGCCATTCTTCATATTCCAAAGCAGGGTAACAAATCTTAAGAGGCATATGGCCCATGAGATCATCCCACCTGGCCTCGATCAAATTTAGGATACCCTCATTTTGTTTTGAGGTTCCCAGAGAAGAGACGATGGCCCAAAGGTTCCCAAGAGTAAAAAACCTAAAATCCATGTGAGCCGGCTGTAGATTGCCAATGAGGTAACCACCTTCCTCAGGAATCCAATCCACTAGCCACGAAGGAATTTGATCGGGGTATATGTTGAACTTGTTGACTGCATCTGTAGAGTATTCTTCAGTGTTGTAACGGTAGATCTCATTGATCTTCCTCATGTCCACCCAATAATACTCTCTGATATGGAATGAGAGTGCACTGAGTCGATTATTTATTGCAGCCACCAGATTCTTGGTTTCATCATTGACTATGAGCATCTCACGAGCACATCGTAAAGCAGAATAGAACAAGGCCTGAAAAGGTATGCTAGTTAAGCAAATGGCAAACCAAGGACAAACATAAGCACGCTTGTGACAAGTCTATAGCTTGAGAAACTTGAGCACTCCTTTTTTCCAAAATCTTAAATGCTTAGGAGAATTTTCTCAAAGTATAATGACAAAACTGCAAGAAAAAATTCACTTCTGGAACAAACAACAGCTCCATCTAATGTACTTCTGCAGCTTAAGCACGTCAAATGACCGGTTTATATTTTCTAAATTTATAATAGTTGCATGCGTTCTAGCATAACAGGTCCTTGGTCAGTGTGGTCAGATATCAACCTTGCACAACATCATAACATCTCCATAATCAACAAAAATAATTTTCCACATGCAACATAAGCAAAACAAAATTGAAGGCCGGACTGAAAATATTTAACGTACTTGGATTTCAAGAGGGTGTCCATGGATACCCATTCGTCTATCAATCATGCAGGAACCATCAGTGACTAACAGCGTAGGAAACATATCAAACCCATCTGATAAACACAAATTTAGTCCGAGTCTGATTCCTGTCTGGACATCAACCCTCTCTTGCAATGCATAGTCGCCTGTTATCTTCCCATAAGCTCTCAACAAAATTATCCACCACAGCCCTGTGAGTGTCTTGAAAATATGTTTCAGATTACAATAATTACGCAAATGTAACTGGACGAAGGAAATAACTGGATATATAGACAAGACATGAAGCAACTGAGACCAATACTCAATTCATTGAATACAGAAAGACTTCTTATTATATACAGTACAGAGAACAAAACTAAGTATTATCTTACCGGAATCAACAGGCGCAACACGCCCAATGGCTGATTCACCAAAATCAGGATCCAAAACCTCATCAAAACCTCCATCACTGCCATCAAGAGGCACTGTTTTGACTTTAAAACTTGCTGGCATTAACCCTTGCCCAGGACTGTAACAGTCCACTGTTTTCTCCCAGCTCTGACATGCATGAGAGAAAAGTTTTAGTTTAAATTGATTTTTGAAGAATTGCTACTTATCATTCTCTCTTTTTATCCCCCATAAAAAGCAATCTCTCTCTCTCTCTCTCTCTCAGCGTGTTTTTTCTTTTGATAAACATAAAAAAGTAATATGTAATGGGCTAATTTTGGTGAAAATTGCAATTATAGACGCATCATTTCAAAAGTTCAACTTCCCCAACTTAAAGCTCTAAGCTATTATCACTTTTTTTTTTTTGGAGATGAATGCATCCATGGAGTTGGCAATATTATCATCACAGCCTGTTGCCCATAAATTTGGTTTCTGCAGAAGGTGGCTATTCTTTAAGGCAGTGGTCACAAACATGGAAAGCAATATGAAAAGTGAGTATAAAATTTTAAGCAGCATGAAAAGTGTGAATCAATGCGACCACAGCAAAAGTGTTATGCTGTAAAAGAACATCAAATATATGCCAAAGCAACATATCTTTGTTTCAAATGCAAACATAATTGCCACTTCATTAAGCAGCAGAACATCAGAACGTAACTCAAATGTGAGCACGAACATAAATACGCTACATATGCAAAAAAAATAAGTAATGGAATGTTTGTCTTAATATACCTGCAACTGCAAAGTGTGAAGAAGAAAATTCTTCACAATCTCCATTTCTCCATTAAGCAAAAAAGCAAGTGCGGATGGAACAAAATCACGAATGAAGACTTGGTCATAATTCAACGGTTGCCTGTCAGCAGGATCATTAGCAGCGACAGTCCCTACTGGATTCCCACAGTAATTCACAATGGTGCCTCGAAGCAACTGCCACGCTTCCTTCTCGATCTTAGACACCTCTCTCTCAACAACCTTAGGAGTTGTGCTCTCATTCAAACCCTTGAAGAACTTTGTATTTACTTTGGATCCATTAATCTCCACCCTATTACTAGATGTTTCCTCTTTTCCTTCTTTAGCTGCATCACTTTCTGTTTCAATCTTTTCTATCACTAAAGGCTTCACATTCAACCCTCCTTGAATGTAAATATTCTCAAATCCTTTCTTATTAACATGACCCTCTACCGAAGTTGAATGATTCCTAATGTCCGACGCTACTTTGGGAATTACTAAAACACCCCTTGAACTACTACCCTTATCGGCAAGAAAACCTGAACTAAAACCCCTAGCATGACCCCAATTCCAATCGCAGACATTAAAACCTCTGCGATCCAGATTAACTATACATTTATGACCAGTATCTTGTGACCAACTACGCTTATTACAGCAGTGGAATTCATGATTATATACCGATTTCGGATGTGATTTCGACAAATTGGTATGAATGACTGAATTATTATTAGATCTTGAGAGAGAAACCCCAAAATGTGAAAAACTTCTGTAACTAATTATGATTCTACAACAGGGTTTCATTGTCGAGATACCAATACAGCTACTACTGTTCATTTTTTCTTTTTTTCTTTTTATTATTATTATTATTATTATTATTATTATTATTATTATTATTATTATTATTATTATTATTATTATTATTATTATTATTATTATTATTATCTATGTATCAATATAGAGTGTAATTAAACTTCTGCTAGCTTGAAAAAAAATGAAAAACAGAGTATTTATTGAATATAGGTAATGACTCTAAAAAAACACAAAAACTGAAAATTAAGAAAAAAGAACTGAAATTTGAAAAGTTTGATACTTACAGTTAGAAGAGACGTTGAAGAGAAGATGTGTTTGTGAGAGAGAGAGAGAGAGACCGCGTTTAGAATGATAGATTTTTGAGGGGGAACCCAAGCTGGGTTTATATAGAGGAATTGAAGGAAATTCCCCCTTCCTGCTAACAGAGAGTGCGGGGCCTACGTGGTCTGTTATTACAATAGTATCCCTGCTCGAGCTTCTGGATCTTTTACACGAATAGCCTTCGCATTTTTCCAAAATGTCATGAGTTGGAGTCATCTCGTGGTGACATGTAGCCCCACCAATGGATGGATTTAATTTTTATATGTAAAAGCTATCTTGAAATATGTTTTGGCCAGGAGAAAAGGGTAATTTACATGATAATGAATGGATTTTTCATAAATCATGTTGTTGTTCATTGAAAATGTTAAAATATTATATATTATCAATTCTTAAATGTGATTGGATTATCGTCAATGTGAAAACAAAATATTCATTGTTTTTTATTTTAAAAAATATTTATAATTATAATTATTTAGAATACAAGAGTTATAATAAATTATTTTTACAAGGTTTGAGTGTGAAAATAAACCGTAAAACTTTAAATAAGAAAAGAGCTAAGGTTATGTTTGGTGAAAAAATACGAGAGGGGGAGGAAAGTGGGTGGAAAGAAAATCGTCTTTCTTCTGTGCTTGGATGAGTTGAAAACGAGAGATGAGTAATTGGAGAGAATTTATTTTTAAAAACATTTAAATGATAAAAAAATTGAAGGGAGATAAAATCACTAATTTTACGTTCTTTCTTCTGTGCTTGGTTTATAACTAGCATGTTAATTCCAAAATAAAATTCCTAGCATTTACCTCATCTTCGCATGCAAGAGAGAACAGCTTTAGAAATTTGTATTTTCTCTCCTCGCCATTTTCCCTCTCCCAAACAGGGTGTAATATTAGAAGACACAAGGGCAACTTAGGTGGCGCAAGAAGTATACTATTCAAATATTTGGTTTTGGATAAAGGGTAATATGGTCCTGCGGGTAACGTGTTTTGCTTTTGACAAGGGACCACAAATGTCGGTTCTGGATGCAATAAAGAAAATGTGCGGAAATCAAGAAACGTCAGGCTCTGTCTTTTATATATGTGTGTGTGTGTGTGAAAATAATGCAAGAGGAAAAGAAAAGAACATCGCGATATTTTTAAAAGTCAGATATTTTTTTATCAAGAAGAAGTTTTGAACTATCTTATTTATATGCGTTTTATCACGTATTTGGCATAACAATATATATTTTTTTAACGTGTCAGATCTATTTCACAAAACTTGTGTTTAACATTAAATTTAGTTATGTTACATTATACTATATTAAATAATTAAAAGAAAACTAAAAGAAAAGAAAAGAATATTAAAATTTTATTAATACTGTATAATATGATCATAAATAATTTTAAAAAATAAATTTAATTTAAATATAAAGATATTATACATAAACTAAATTAAAAAATAAAAATATTATTTTATTTTTAACTGATAAAATAAAATAATCATATATTTCTTAACAGATAGGATATTCTTGGCTTGTTTTAATTTTTTATAATTTTAAATATTATTGATGTGTTAATATTAAAAATAAAAAAATATATTATATTTTAATATTTGAATATCTGATTTAACATTGTTTGGTATAAAAAACAACTACCTAAAGCACCTGGACTTGCTGTTAATACCTGATTTCAGTTTAGACATTGTTTGGTAAGTGGTTAGAAAATACAGTGAATTATTATTAGAAATAACTTTTGAGAATATAAAAAATTGATTTTTAATTTTGTTTTCTCCTTAAGTATCTATCTGCACATTAATTGATTTTTTTGTTATTTGATATGTGAATAGCTTCCGTTATTAAACGAAATCCAAACATAACATAGGGTGCAGATTATTCCGAGGAATGTTGCTAGCCCGTTTGAATCAAGGTAGAAGCAAGTTGACACTGGAATTGAGATTAGTTACTGCTCTCCTTCGTCGGGTCTCGTTCTTTAAGGGAAAGGTCCATGTCGGGCCGAGGTCCTTTACAGTGGACCTTAAGCTCGAGCTTGGATTAGATCCACCACGTCAGGGGGCGGCCATGGATCCAGATGCCTCTGGGGTCAGCTGTGGTCGCGAGTAGTCGACGGACCTCAGGGTCGGGGTGGGACTGGGAAAGGGACGTGACAATACTCCGACGTCCCGAGACCGGATAGCCCCAGAATAAATTGAAATCAATAAAAATCTAAACAGATTTGACTCTTTTTTTTTGTTAGTAAAAATGGCCATGTTACTTGATTTGATTCTAGCTGACATTCTCCAGCTTTCACATCGGAGAGTGAGTGAGTAACTAAAAGAATGCGTGCTCGTCCACCAAGTAGCGAATCACAGTGGCATGAGGGACTTGGACTCCATTCTCAAGACTTTGTTAGTTTAGTTGGTGGATGGCGTTATAGCTAGCTGGGCCGGCTTTTCATGATGGATCGCCCTAAATTGTGTAATTGCTGGCACACAAGCAGTTTGCTTGAAATATACAACGGAGCAGCTGGGAAATCAACACATGCTCAAGGGAACCCATAGCAAAGCTTCAGACTTGGTAAATTATAAAATACAGGTACAGTAGTGATCTCACCCTGGCAGTCGACGGGAGTTCCTCGAATTCATTTCTCGAGGCACTGAGAAATTTTATATTCCAAGGTATTTAGTAAAACCAGCAACAGATTGGATCAATTTCTTTTCTAAAAAAAGAGGTTTTCTGCTAGCAATTTCACTGTATCCAAAGGTGATTAACCCACTTCTTAAAAAAGAAAAGGAAAATGATTATTTTTTTCCAGTATGAGCTCATGTTCATCATTGTGGGGATGTGGCTCACTTCTCTGATACTTTTTATATTCTCCACCTGTCTTCTCCAGATTTGTGGAATGCCTAGGGCCCAATCCAGGTAAAAACTAATGGAGAAATTGTGGGGAAAAAGGGTGATTAATTACTGTCATTATCTGAAACAATTGGTCCATTTTTTTTTTAACTCTCTGGAGTTTTGAGTGCGTACTAGAATCGACTCGTATCAGATAAGCCTGCCAGCACTGCCCTGTATCATGAACCCGTATAGAAGGAAGATTAGGCCCTTAGAATTTACATGTAGAGAATATGGGCTCGTGCAATAGAAGTTGTTAACTTTGATTAGGCCCATATACACTGGCAGAGAATATTACAGGCCCAGATATAATCCACATGTTTCGTCAAAGCTAAAATCAACTCTGATCAAATATTCTAAGTAATCACTCCACCATTTCTTTTCAAAATTATCGAGTCAAACATTTTCATGTTGAATGGCGTCAGCAATGATCAACTTCTTCCCTGGATGCATGATTTTTAATCTATCAAATTGAGGAGGCTGGCCCGTGATTATTATTTTTTAAGTATAATGTAAAACTAATTATCATTTGTTTAGTTATAACAACCACGTTTGTTAATTCTAACTAATACAAAATCTTCAACTTTCAGATGGGAAAAGGACTAAATAATTGAAGAAAGTTTGCCCATTCCATCCGCCAGGCAGTAAGTTACAGTAGCACAGGTACTTAATATAAAAATCATCTGTTTTTTTTAGTATTTTTTTAAAAAGTTGATTTTTTTATTTCAAATAAATTTTTTTTAAGTTTTAAAATTGTTTTTTGCTTTAAAATAATTTTTTTAAATAAAAAATATACATAATTTTAATAGATTTTGAAAAAAGTATTTCAAAAAAAAAAACACTACCTTTTTTTTTTTTTTTTAGATTAACGTGGGTGTCCGGGCCAGCTTGCGTGCACCACGACTAATCCCACGGGCCCTGAAGTTAATGACCATGTAAGCCTCCAGTGGCCATCATATGAGCAACCAAGAACTCGAATCTGAGAACACAGAGGGAGCAAATCTCTTAATCCTAAGTCTTTACTACTTGATCATCACCTAGATGGTTATCACTACCCTATTCTTAAATTCTCTATTGGCTGACCTGACCTTTCTTGCAACTAGATCACTTGTTCAAGACAAGCTCAGTCCGCGCTATAGAGAAATCTTAATAGTATGCTAGTGTGTTAGTTTGTATCATCAGCCTAAAAAAAAATTATTTTATAAAAAATATAATTAATTAGAATTAATTTAATAGTTATATATTTTTAATTATAATTAAAATTAAAATTAAAATTAAATAAAAATAATTTAATATATTTGATTAACAATGCTTTTCAATTTGAAGTTGTAAAATAACTAAAAATGATATATATTAATATTAATAGTTTTTAATTTAAATATTATAGATTTAACTATTGTTATTATATTATAAAATAAATAATATTTTATGTAAATTTATCTGACAGGGACTATAATTTTTATGATTTTTTTAATGTGAAATAAAATCAAGTAAAATATTATAAAAAATAAAATTAAAATTACAATCAAACTTTGTAAATAATAAATCATTATGCAACTTCTTTTTAATTAATATAATATTATTGAATAATGTTAAATACTAGCTTTTTAAATAAAATATTATTAAAAATTAAAAAATTTAGTTTTTTTATTTCATCGAATCAGTAATATATTTAAATTCAGGCTACATCTGGTCTAACAATGGATAAGCTGAACTCCTCAAAGTGAGATTTTTAAATCACTTCGCACAGTTTTACATGGTAAATTATAATTTATTATGGATATAGAGAAGGAGCTTGGGTAGGAGCAACAATTTTTTACTTTTGTTAAATTTGAGACACAGCCGCAAGTATGGTGGATTCCACCTAAAAAATGAATCTGCATTTTTTAATTTAATTAAATATTAATATTTATGATATATAATCAACGTTACCACAATATCAACCAGGTAAAATCATAGGATTTGTTTACACATGTTATCCTTGTTCATCACAAGATCTTGGCCTCGGAAGGCGGCAGCCAAAATTTTGGCCAAGTTTCTTTATAGTTTGAAGTTTTTTAGCTGCCACGAGCTTTTAAATAATATGCAAGAAATGACAATTTTTATGCGAACCCGGCCTTTGGAATAAAGCAATTTTAATTGTTTTTTTCTATGGATTC